CTCATCTTTTTCTCCCATGGGGGGGGGGGCAAAGACTATGAAGCGTCAATTGCTACGATTCTTACATACCATAAGCGTCAATTGTTACGCTTCATCAACAATCATCAGTTTTATCATTCATGCTCGTCGGTTAAGGGGACTAAAAAGTTTATTTGAAATCAACAATTTATGAACTAGCCAGATATTACCCATTCAAATTAAAACAAATGAGTCATCACATTGGTACTAACAGAAAACCAAAATAGTTGTCATTTTAAGATAATATCGTCATAAGTTCAATGAACTTGGAGCTCGTATGTCCGGCTTAACGTTAAGCCTTCTATTGCATATTGTCACGTAATTTTACCGGATTTTAATGTAATACAAACAGTTTTAGCTTTCGAAGAAAATTTTGGCAAGTTTTCATGTAAATAAAGTGTTTGATATATATGAAAATTCGTCACCGTGATCCCCTTAGGTAGGAGGTATCAGAATATTATTATCTTGAGTCAGCACTAGTTTATAAAAATAAAATTAATTTGTTTATTAAAAATACTCGTTGCCTGCCTCGTTGGCCGAGTGGTCGCAAAGGCGACTGCCGTGTAAGGGGTCTCGGGTTCGATTCCCGGGTCGGGCAAATATTACTGGGTTTTAAAAAAAAATCTCAGTAGTAGCATGGAGTCTGGAACTGTGCCCGGTATATGGCAATAGGCTCACCCCCTATTACATGGGACTTATAACACAAATAGTGAAAAGTGGGTGTTACATTGTACAATAGTATAATGTGCATCTCTGCCTACCCCTTCGAGGATAAAAGGCGTGATGTTATGTTATGTCTATTAAAAAACATGGTAGCCTAGAGGCTACTTTTAATAAACCTCTAGGTAAAGACTTCTCATGCATTAGGGCGCAGGTTTAAAACCTACCAACAGCGAGTACCAATGTGACTTTTTCCGAGTTATATTTACTTTCTAAGATTATTCAGACACCACTGACAACGGTAAAGAAAAACATCGTAATGAAGTAACGAATTATCAGTTTCGAAGCGTCAACCCGCATTGAATAAGCGTGGTGATTAATGCTCAAACCTTCTCCGTGTGAGAAGAGGCTTTGCTCAGCAGTAGGCACTTATAGGCTACTAATGATGATGATTAAAAAAAGGTAAAATAAAATATTACACCTAATAGTATCATTAGTCTCCAACACAGTAACATAATGAAAATTAACCATTGACACGACGTTAGCATAGATCACAGTCATTAAACATAGCTGAAGAACCAAAATGATACACAAAATTAAGTTCCTTCACTTTTTATTATTTTCCAAGGTAATATCGCCCTAATAGAAGAAGTTTCCCATTTCTGACATGATATGCGATCTACTAATCTGAGAAAATCAATTCACTTATCAATAATTTTTAGTAAAAGCAATTTTTCTGCCCCGGATTTAAAATATAAATTGCAATACGTGACTTGCAACTCTAAAATATATTACTACACAATCATATGGCATATAAAATTTATAACATGCCTAATGCAAAAACTATAACTGTGCTTTGTTGTCATGAATGGTTATTAGTATTGAATGCAATTTGTTTTTTTATGCACTTACATCGATTATTTGACGACGGACAACGAGCAAGAGACATTTTTTTACAGGCTCACTTCATGTGAAAGAAATCCAATCTAGACCAAAGCAGTCTCTATCACAATTATCATCATCATCTACAACCTATGATATTCTACCGCTGAACTATACGGCTCCTTTACAAGAGGAATTCAAACCGTAATTTCCACGCTTTGTAGAAATGCAGATTGAAGATCGCTAGTAGTTAATAATTAATTCATAAACTACGTTTAAACGAACCGACTTCAACCCCTGGTTTTTGAAGTCGGTCAAGCCATTGACTGACTACAGAAAACTGCTGAAGGCAAATCCTCCGCTAACGTAGGTAACCGGTGACATTTTTTTTTTTGGGGGAAAATCATCTTATGACTTCTCCCGCCCGTTATCACGTTAATAGGTCACCGGTGACCTACGTCGCGGTTAACGTGGTATACTGAAACCTTCTCCTAAATGTAACAGACACTTTTCTGAAAACCTCATCAATATCGGTTCAGTCAATCACGATATAATCACGCACAAATATATATACATAAAGGTGAAACTGACAACTTCTTTTTTCTTTTTGAAGTCAGTTAAAAATGATCAAGTTTATCAGAAAGCGCTGTTGCCTTGTTTCTATCAAATATGTAGTCCATTAGGCTGCTCTTATGAAACCTGCCCCAGTACGGGTGATAACGAAAATGTGCTCGACCCTATCTTCATCACACGACACGAGACTACTTCATTGTCATCATTAATATCATCAGCTGAAAGACGTTTACTGCTGAACTAAGGCTTAGTCTTCTACATCGAACAACGGGGTGGTTTTTATTCAGTAAGAGTCTGACACTCTCTCGATGATTTTCGCCCCTTAAAAAATTGAGTATAGTAATTTTTTTGTATTTTTTGACGCTAATTTGAGAAATTCTCATGGAGCCCTCTCGCCTGGGAGGACAAAAAGGATTGTCAGACTCTTATTGGATAAAACCCATCTCAGTGTCTCACACGTGGGTACGAGAGTTACATTCTTCCGCAGATTGGCTATAGTACATAGTTTATATAGGATATTTAGTTTTGACCCAATTATAGTTTCACATAAATAAAATTGATGTTGTAACAAAATGGAGTGGATTTTTATTCGGTCAGGAATTACAATAAAGTTTAATGAGTCACTCTGTTTATTTATACTTACGATCTATCGGTCATGTTCATGGCCACGCGAAATATAAACGTTATGAACGTTATAAACGTTATGATCTTTTCTTTGTAGAGGTATATAAATACATACATACATTGAACAAATATAGGTATCTTTTATTTATTTATTCATTTATTCATGTACACCACACAGACAATACACAGAAAAAAATATATATAACAAAACAGAGGTACATAGGTACTGCATATCCCTTACGGGATTAGCCCTGTGAGAGGAGAAATAAATACATCATCATTATTATCTAGCAAATACAGTATAATTAGCTAGCAGCCAGTTCCAGTAGCTATAAGTGCGACTACCTAGCAAAAAGTTTTCAGGTTTGATTTGTGGCTCGGATATAATATGATATTATCGAGAGTCAGGAATTTTATCCGAATGTAATGAGAAATATAATCAAAAACTACAAGTTTATTTATAAAATACATACTTCAAGTTACAAACTACAACGTATTTGCCACTTAAATTATGCCTTACAATATTTTACAAGAGAAAACCTGTTAAATTTGACAAATTAATGAGAAATAAAATTTTCCACATGCATGAAAATTACGTTATTTACACATAACATAACATAACATCACGCCTTTTATCCCCGAAGGGGTAGGCAGAGGTGCACATAGAAGTAACACCCACTTTTCACTATTTATGTTATGAGTCCCATGTAATAGGGGGTGAGCCTATTGCCATATACCGGGCACATTTCCAGACTCCGTGCTACTACTGAGATTTTTAAAAAACCCAGTAATACTTTGCCTGATCCGGGAATCGAACCCGAGACCCCTTGCCCGGCAGTCGCACTTGCGACAACTCGGCCAACGAGGCAGTTATTTCTACACATCTTTGCATCATACCTAAGAATAGATATTTTTTCAGCAAGAAAGGAAGAAAATCTTGGCTTAGCAATGTATTTATTCTAGAATACTTTTGTTCTCCTGGCTTTTTACCAACTGGGTTAGGGTCGCCACTGGGTTTTAGCCAGATTGGACTGGATGACCATTTTTTTGTGCAAAAATATTGCCAATTTTTTCTTCAAATCTCTTTTCGTTTGACATAATATTCTTAGTAAGTTACCTAGGTAACTATTTAAGGCTGATTATGATTGTGAGTCCCTGTTGCGGCTCGAAACTAGTTGAGCATAGTTTCGTGAGTTTGGCTTAAAGCCTTAATTAATTTATAATCAGAATTAAAAAAACATGATCTATAAAAGTACTTTTGGATTTCTGTATTTTTTTTATTCGTGGAAAATGTATTACCATAATATTGTGGTTTTTTTTCTTTTTATCTATCGATACTATGTAAAAAAATAGCCTTAATTAATTCATTTGGTAAAGATCGTAAATTAATAATTGATCAAATAAATTAACTGATAACGTCAACTATGCCTACCGGACTTTTGGTGATAAAATCTCTACACGTGTTTTAATGGCATTTTTTATTAATTAAATATAATATATATTCAGTCACTAAGAAAATTATGCTCGAATTAGATTGTTTTTTTGTGCTTGTATGTCTAAATTCCTAGACTGATTTTGATAATTTATCTAAACAAATACAGGTTACAAAAAAGGATTTATTTTTAATGGAGGTCAATGGAAAAGTTAAAGTGTTTGACTTGACTGATAATACTTTTATCTTCAGAAGCTGTATAATTATATATAATATACGATAGATGCTAAAAATAAAACTTTTTAAATGTTGATTTTTTATATATAGTACTTAAATATCCGGAGCCTGATATTAATTTTAGAGGCATATTATAATTATGTCTCTATTGTTTATGTTATGGAAGTTTTTAATAGTTCTAAACTCCATATTATTTAGGCTATGTAGACTGATGCCCTAAAAAGGTATTCAAAATTATTAGTCTGAACTATATTCGTACGTTAATGTTATTATTCGTACGTGCAAATAGCGTTTTTAATTATTAAATTATTCTTATAAAATGTGTGGTTCATATGAGGCACTTTTTATCATTTTGTATTATAGTGTATTATATTTTTATCTAGTATTATTTACGTTAAGTAGACGTGTCAAGACGTGTTAAATATTTTAGAATAAAATATGGATTTTTTTAAGCTATAGGTTATATTAAAAATGTGATACAAAAATATTGTTGCTTCGAGAAAAAAATAAAAATCATAAATAATATAAAACCTCAATCACAAACTAATAACAAAATACTAAAAAAAATACTTACAAAATAATTTTCATGTTGACTTATTAAAAATCCAATTTAGCACTTAAATAAACAAACCAACACAACACTAATTACTAATTAACATAATCACCATCACCGAATTAAATTTAATTTTATAAAAACTTCGTTTCACATTTTTCACACAAAAACATCGTATTTTCGAATTATTCGCACATTGGTGCGCACGCGCGTGTACTCGTGTTGGCGCGGGAAGTTTGAGACTGGCTTAAACTGTTAGCGCCTGCGCCAGTTCAGTACGACAACACAAAATGATGATTCACCATCAAGCAAGAAGGTCTACTTCGTTCAAATTTTTAAATATAGGTTACATATTACACTATGAAATCCATAGATACTTCTGATATAAAATGTATATTTTTTGTCTATAATTAGGTCAATTGATTATTGATATCTTTAGACACTGAAGTAGATAAGTAGGTACTGATAAATTGATAATGTAAAAAAACTCAGAAGGTTTATTTTATATCCGTTGGTAAATAGGATTTGATTCGTTCGATATGATTTCTTATGTTTATAACCGAATCTAATTTACCGTATTGATGTACGTAAATTCATACATAGCATCATACATTTAATTGTCATAACGTAACGCTTCGAACATTTTTTTGAACAAGATTAAAAAGCATTAACTTGCCTGTGTGTCTTGCACAGAAAGTTAATGTAAAATTATAATATTACTACCAAATATGGAAGAAAGCATTTTTATAAAACTCAAATAAGACAATATTTCAAAGGCCCAAATGCGGGCACATACTGACATAGCCATTACCTTACCTTAGTCTTTGAGACTTATAAACCAAGCTATTCATATAATGCGTGGCAAAACCAAAAAAAGGTATCAGTTCTTTTAGAACTGGCATCGTTTAGTTTTACAAGTTTATTTTGTTTTTTTTCTTTGTGGAACAAAGTGGAACTTTTGTATTCATCTGCGGGCATATTGTTGTGAGCTTATGACTAAAGGAATTGCAGATAAATTTTGTAACGTCTAGTATTCTAATTTAGTTCTGTACTTTGTTTTAATATTACGATTGTTTCAGTGAACTGTGTATTGTTTCGAAATCTTTAACAGTGAAATAGACTTTTCTGATTACTCAATAATATTTTTTACGTCTATCGCGTTTGAATGCAAGTGCTACTGTTAATCATGAAAAACATACATCATCTTCTTGAAAACTCACAAAACCTCGCGCTGAGCAGTTACATTTTCCATCTTTTTTATGGGATAAGCCGGTAAACGAGCAGACGGATCACCTGATGATAAGCAATCAATCGGCGTTGCCCATGGACACCTGGAATACCAGGGGCGTTAGAAGTGCGTTACCGGCCTTTTGGGATTAGTAATTTGAGGATTGTTGGGGATTCAGGGATTGCGGAAAGGGGGCTGGGTAATTGGGCCTCCAGTCACCTCATTCATACGACGAACCACTACGCAAGCATTGTTTCACGGTTTTCTGTGAGGCCGTGCCGAAGCATGGCTCTCTCATACTTCTCAGTCACTTTTTATAATTTTCCATTAAAATTCTTTCAATATTAGAAGTCAATATGGTACAGTATTATCATATAACTAACTATGCCACAGCTGGGCCAAGGCCTCTTCTCAACCGAAGAATAAATCAATCAATACAAATTTTATTACATATAGGTTCCTATTAAATATTACATACCTCACAATAATATGGTCATTTTAAACAAGGACATAGTAGTTACTAAGCAGCTATAAATATAGTAGAACTTTAATTAATATTAGGTCATTCCTTGTTCCAAATAAGGTTTTCCTTAAAATCTTATTTAAACTGTCAAATACCAAGCGGTCACCGGTGACCGCGACCTATTGTTCTTTAATTGTGTCTGTAAAACCGGTACTCGACGAGTTAATAGGTAATGTACTGATTGGTAAGTAGGCACTATTGTTTCGTAAAATAAGGTGTATTTGCGAAATTATTTCCTTCCTTTAGTTTTGAAAGATACGGAAAACCTACATATCTATACATATTATATAATAAAAGTGCTAAATAACTTAACATCACGCCTTCTAGCCCCGAAGGTGTAGGCGCACATTACGGTACTTAATGCATGTATACAATATAAACACCCACTTTTCACTATTGATGTTATGAGTCCCATGTAATAGAGGGTGAGCCTATTGCCATATACCAGGCACAATTCAAGACTTCGTGCCGTTCTAAGCTACTCTACTGAGAATAAAAAAAAACAGTAATATTTTGCCCTTGCAGCAGCAATCGCACTTGCGACCACTCGGCCATCGACGCAGTCTAGCAAACACTAAATCAAATAACATTCAACAATGCGAATAAAGAATTTCGCACAAAGTTATTAATATCGTAAAAACTAAACTAAAAATAGACGCAAATGTCGTACAATAATTAGTATAAACAGTAGGCACGTCACTTTATTAATGTCTCCTTTATTTAAATTTATTAAACGAAGATATTTTTACTGACTAAAAGTTCTGAAATACGTCATCTGATATAAATTGGAACATGGCCCACACAGCAAGAATGATAATGGTTAAGAAAAATTTATTAGTAATAGGTTTCTTTATTGAACAAACAAGCCGGCAGATTAATAGATATTACATTCTGACATAAAAATGTAACATTACATCAGTTTTTTATTTCCTGAAAGGGATAATAGTATGTTTAATAAGTCTTTACATATTTTATTTTTAACACTATAATATACACTTTTTTTTCGAGGGGGGAAAATCATCCAATGACTTCTCCCGCCCGGGTATGGCGAGATCCGAGTGTCAGACTGTTACTGACTAAAAACCACCCCGTTCCTACTTCTGCACTTCGAACCGGAGCCCCGGCAACTCGCTAAGTCTTTCGCGGCTCCGTATCGGCATCAGCCCTGCTGGGCCCTATCTGTGGTGGTCTGATGGCTCCTTGAGGCGCGCGCGACGCGCTGTACGCTCGGGCCTGTTCTGGTCGGGCTGCGAGTCACCCGTGCTCGCCGTCCGCAGGCCCGTGCTTACCATACCGGAGAAACTATAATATACACTTGGAGATAAAAATGGAGCCACTAGCGTCTTTTGATTCCGATTCGAATAATATTTTATTAATTGGTAATGTATGTCGTATGAACGGCAATTTAATTACCCTTAAAATCCGAGCATTTTGTTGTGTAAGGATTTTTTTTACAGTTCGATCAAATGAAAAATAAAAGATACGCTAATGGTTCCGTTTGTTTACTCTCAAATGTAGGTCGAACAAAGTACAGTCTCAGCATTACTTCTGGATTTTGACGCATAACTTTTAAAATTAAAAAGTTCATATACAATTATTAGTAGGCGTCAGGGTCAGTAGGTGTTTAGATCGAGTCAGTCCCAACACAAGTATTGTATAATAACTTACTGCGACTGCCTCAATATTAGACAGATATTGTAATTCTTAAAATAATAATAAATTTTGAATTTGAGGTGTAAGTACTAGCAAGCCTGAAATTGAACCCAGTGTACAGCTACAGGGCCCTATTTCATGATCTGACACATATCATAATAAAAAATTTGAAAAATCCACAAGGTGTTCGTGAACGCTGCTAATTTTCCATTGTCTAATTAAAAAGTATGAGCAGAATTCTTTGAGTCTTAATTTGTTACAAATGGTCTTCTTTCATCTAGTATATATTCTTTATATATATTATAATTCTGCTGTACGTGTGTATGTCATTGAACTCCTCCTAAATGGCTTGACCGATTTAAATGAAGTTTCTATACGCGTTTGGGTGGCGCCCTGGATGGTCTAGATTCACAAATCAGCCCGGCAAATGGCAGTCGATGTCTAGGTTATTCATCCTAAACTAACATTAATAATTATTATTTTATTAGTCTTTCCTTTCATACAATATATGCAGGACTACATCTGTCGGGTCCGCTAGTCTAGTATATTATATATAAAAATGAAACCCGTTTCCTGTTGTCATGCCATACCTTGAGAACGGCTAGACCGATTTGGCTGATTTTTTTATTGTCTTTGTTATCGTCAGGAGAAGGTTCTTATTACAGATAAAAGTCCTGGAAATCCTACGGGAATGGGAGAAACGGGATTGCGCGTACGAAGTCGCGGGCAGAAGCTAGTAAATATATAAAACTTTACAATTTAAATATAGATGTTTCGCGACCGAAGCGTGTAAGTGAGTATTCTTGTACACATGTAGATACACAATAGATCAATAGACACACAATTCTTGTGGCGATTTATTTCCCTTGTTGACAGGCTTAACAAGGAAGATACGTTCATTTCAACAACTGTTTTTTTACAGAATTAGAACAAAGTATTGTAATAAATTGTTTGTCTATTTACAAGTTTCGTCCTGTTTATTTTAATATATTTTTAGTTCTTTTGTTTGTTCATTCAGAGGTGTAAAAATAAATATTAGATAAATGCTTTTCTATTCCTATATCAAAAATAAAGTTTTTTTTACATTGATCGACTTCTGAATGACTTTGGCTGACTTTGTTAGATAAATAACTTGTGATTATTAATTTTTCATCTTTTACTTTTCGCTAATACTGGGGTGTTTGGAATTATGTTTAGTACATAGGCAATAAACTAGTATCTTTGTTGTATACATATAAAACATAACATTACGCCTTTTATCCTTACAGGGGTAGGCAGAGGTTTACATTACGGTACTTAATGCCACTGTACACTGTAACATCCACTTTTCACTATTTGTGTTATAAGTCCCATGTAATAGGGGGTGAGCTATATGAGGGTGAATAGTATCTCAGTTTTATGGTTTCCATATAATAGGTACCTATTACTCTATATAGATAGAGTTATAGATAGATAGATAAAAAAAATAGATAGATATAGATCTATCTATATTTTTATATATTACTCTATCTATTATTGTTAAGATATTCCTGTTACATCATATTATTTGTATACTTCTAAATACACATTTTTTGTTCTTGTTGTATTTAAAAATATATTTTTTAGTAAATAAATGCATGGGATAAGTAAGT